GGGGGGGGGCGGACCTTCAGACAGACCGCCGGCGCCATCTGCCTTCAGGGAGCGCGGGAGGCGATCGGCTGGCTCGTGTGATCAGGGGCGTGATCTGAGCCGGTGGGTTGGTGCTGCACCGGACATCACGCCCGGATCTTGTGCCGGGTGGCCAGGTGGCCCGCCGCCGCCATGGGCGGCGCAAGCTCCGGCCACAAAAGCACGCCTTATCGCGGTGGAAAAGCGCAAGCCCAGGAGACGTGCGCAGATTGCGCGCACGTTTGCACGCAGGCCCAAGCCGGAAGGCGCGCCAATCACCTCTCGGGCAAGTCGCGAAATTTGTGCGCGCAGCCCCGGGCCCTCGCCCCCCTCCCCTTCATTCCCTGTCTGGGTGCCCGGTCGGCGCTCATCGGGTGCCTGGCTTTTATCGCCCTCCTTGCGGAGGGGCGAGAGCGCGCGTGCTTGGGACCTTGGCGGCACGCGCAGACACCGCTCAGGTGAGGACAACCTGCGCCGCTGCGCGCGCGCGCGCGCGCGCTCAACGCGCTGAGCACGCTGAGCATGCTGAGCACGCTGAGCGCCCTTCTGCCCCCGCCGAGGCGCGCTGTCTATTACGAAGCACCCCCCCCCCCCCCCCCCCCCCCCCTCCCCCCCACCCCCCCGCCCACCCACCCCGCGTGGACGCCCCCGCCGCCTCGCCGCCCCCCCCCCTGGGGAAGTAGGAATGGATTCGACAACCTTTGTCCATGCACGCAACCATGGCGCGCGCCATGAAGCCCGGGTTTCCCGTAGCTGCCAGTTGAGGGGCCAGGAGCACGGGCATGAACTTCCCCCCCTCCTTGTCCGATCCTCATCCTGGCCCTTTGTTTATGCGCCGGGGTGTGTGCCTCCACAATCATGCCCTTGCCGATCTCACCAGCGGCCCCCTTGCCGCCCCCGGGCAAGCTCGGCTGGGCCGCATCCGGAGCGAGGGGCGCCCTGCCCCGCCCCCCTTTCTCCCCGCCGTCTGCAATAGACCTCCATTTCCCTGCCCGCCAGACATACGCCTCTCTCTCTCCCTCTCCCCCCCCCCCTCCCCCCGTGCCCCAGAACATGAACACACAATCACAGATACATACATCCCCGGGCTTACGTACCCGCACACGCACACGCCGGATGATAGGCGGGGGGCGCGCGCACACCC